AGTTAATTTTCGTTTTCTGGCATCTCTCGTCACATTTGTTTGATCCAAAATATAATTATGTCTTCTACGACAAGCCATTTGTAATGAACGATTTAGTGCTTTAGCTGTTAACCCCATAACCATATCCCATCTGCCTTGATGTACTCTTTGCCTTGGGACACCATTTACAGCCATTGACTAAATAAAGAGAATTATTCTGATAAAAAATTATTTAAGTATAAACTAAAATCTAAAAATTTAGGTACGATTAATGTAATGGAACGGTGTAAAATAAAAAAGCCAGAGACTTATCATTTAAGGACAAATATATATTCAGAAAATTTTCGGATCGAACCAGACAGTACTAAACGTGACGTAGAAATAGAAAAATCGTTAAGAAAAAAGACAACGACTTAAAATATCTTTTAAAGAAAAAAAATTTTTAACCTGCAAAATAGAATCATTGTTGAGAAGAACCCAATCCTCTTCTGGATGTTCTTTTAAATATTGACGAACCCAACTAGTTTTACCAACACCAGAAAGACCAACCATAGCAATTATAGTACAATGTGCCTCAAAATTGATTAAAAATAATTTAAATTTATTTTTATAAAAAATACTTTATCAGATATTGGCCTTCTACTTGGGGCTAACATTCTTAAATCAATCTTTCCAATCCATTTTGTTCCTTCAGGAACTTCATCTGGTGGCAAGCTAAAAAAATTAATTAAAAAAATATTTTAAAAGAAAAATTACCCCCATTGATTTATTTCTTCATCAGTAATTGTATTGTCTCCATTTGTATTTAAAGTTGATTGAGGTGGATTATCAGGGAATTCATTGCCGAAATAAACATAGACTTTACAATTTTTTGTTGCAATATGAGGAAAGAAAACATCACCAGTTTGGAATTGTATATCAGTAAATGCTGGTCCCAAAGTTTGCGAATTTTTGAAGAAACGAATTTCACCGCAATTTATATCCTTACAAAAAATTATCAATTCTTAAATGTTTATTGTTAAATTAATTACCAAAACAGCAGTAATCACATCACCTATTCCAAAAGGTTCTCCATAATCTGAAAATATATTTCCCGTTGCTTTATTTGCCATAGAATTAAAGGCGAATGAATAAGGAGACTCTCCCAACTTTAATTTAAAATAATTTTTTAGACAAAAAATAATTAACCATATTAGAAGTTCCTAAACGTGACCATCCCAAACGAATATCATGAGCATCAGGCTCTTCAAAAGGTAAATGTTTTAGTGATAGAAGTTCAGCAATCTATTAAAAAACAAAAGATCTCTTTATTTAAATTAAATTTTTATTTAAAGTTTACTACCTTCACTTGAAAAGCTAAAGGAGGCATATCATCTCTTTGTTCAGGAACAATAATTCCATAATTTGCTCGAACACCTCCCCACATTAGAGCAAAACCATCAGCATTGTCTGGATCAATTAACCAATTATTACTTGTTGAAGCCTTCATATTTAGATCAGAATTATCTTTAAAAATAAAACATCTATTTGAAAAACTAAATTAAAATACAAAAATCAAGTTCAATTTCTTCTTCGTTTGGCAATGGTTCTTCTTCTATTACTAATTGTGGTTCCTTATCTTTATTTTTTGTACGAAGTGGAAGTCCTGCTGCGATTTCAAATAAATCATCATCCATATCGTCAGGAACCTAAAGAAAATTTCATTCGCCATATAAGAAAAATTAAACAAACCGGTTCTCCATGAAATTGTTCTGGATCTGGAAGTTGTCTATATTCCTCGTCTTCTTCTATTTTTAATTCATCAGCACTAGGTGGAACTTGTTCATAGTGTGCTCTTGGTTCAAGTTCTGTATCATCATCAGTACCTTAAATATGAGAAAACAAAAATTTAATTTCCAACAAATAAGGTTGAAAAACTAACCAAATTTTCTTCGTAAAACATCTGAAGCTTTATGAAGTAAAGCTTTTGGATCTTTCAATAATTGACTAAACTCATCTACAATCAAAATTTCATCTCCATCTTCTTCCTCAACACTCCTCTCATCATTTTCTTGTTCCATTTCATCTTCTTGTGATTGCTCTTCATAATATTCCTCATCTTCAATATTGCTTGCTTCTTCGCTAGATAATTCACCATCTTCATATTCATCTATTTCACCCATCTCCTTGTCACTATCAATATGTTTTTGATGTTCTTTATTTACATTATTTTCAACGCATAGTTCAACAGTCTTAATTTAAAAAGTCAAACGAAAATATTAATAAAATAAAACCGATGAAATAGATGATGAAGGAGGTGGTGGAGCTTCAGATCCAAATGAATATGAAAAGGAATTGCCATTGTCAACAACTGATGGCAAAGAAGAAGAAAATGTTGATGAACAACTAATAGCTGGAATTAAAGCAGGAGAGACAATCTCAATTCCGTCAACATTCTTTAAAGTTACAAATATATAATTAGAATATTTAATTATGCATACCTTTGATACTGTATTAAGTAAGTCAGAAACAATTGAAGAAATCACTTCAATATCAGAGCTTGGATCAATGGAACCGGTAAGTTGTTCATTTGCTTTAGGTTGAGTATGGTTGATATCTGGTGAATTTATGGAAGTAATTACTCTTGGAGGAGGTGGAGGTGGCGGGGGAAGCAAAGAAGGAATAGATAAAGATGGCATAGCAGTATGCTAAATTTTTTAATAATTTAGAAAAGGATAATAAAGAAGATGAAAAACATACACGTGAAGGTGGTGGCGGAGGTGGAGGAGTATCTGGTCCAATTGAAGAAAGTCCAAGCGGATCTCGACGATCAACAATCAACGGTGGTGAGTTAGATGAAATGGAGTTTACAAATGAAAAATGATCTTCTCTATCGACCTTAAATTTAATAAAATTAAGGTTTAGGAGATGATTGTACCTTCTTTGGAGGCGGTGGTGGAGGTGATGGAAATGGAAAATGTGGCCGTTTAAAATTCACAGGACGAGGAGAAGTTTCTAAAAAATATTACAAAAAAAATCAGAAAAATATAAAAATAAACCTGTATTAATTGGAGACTTATTAATTGTTTGCTGTCTAGAAGTTTCAGAAAAATTAACAGTAGTAGTAGAAAGTGATGTTTGGGATGACTGAATATTTCCAGAAGTTGTTCCGGCAGATAGTCCACTAGCTCGATCCATTCGCTGTTTTCGTTTTTTCAATTCTAGTTCTAACAATTCATTAACCTCTTCATCATCAGTAGAATTTTCATTAGTTAATTCAGCTATAGATTTTCCCATGCCTAAAGTAACTGTTTTTCTGGCAAGTAATTGTTCCTGTTTGTCCAAAATTGAATCGAGAATATCAAATCCTGGGGATTGATTGACAACTTAAAAATTCAGAAAATTTTAACTAAAAAATATTATTTGAAACCTTTTTTCTTCGTAGATTCTGTTGTTGTTTTTGGAGTTGATTTTAATTTTGTAGAAGCATCTTCCCCAGAAGCTAATGTTGCTCTTCGTTTTTCAATTTGTTCGGGACGCTAAATAAAAAATATTTGGTTAAAAAATAATTAGAAACAAACTTTTTGTTGGCTATTTTGACGCTGTTCTTTGATCAATTTTTGTTTTTTCTGTTGTAAAGAACTCAAATTTAGTTTTTCTTCAACAGATTTTTCTTTAGAAAATGCAGGTGTATTTTGTAGTTTATTCTTATTTATCGTTGATTCAATTTTAGGAGAACTGGAATTAGAAATTGTAGAAGAAATATCAGAAGCATCAAATCCTGCGGAGATTTTCCTCAAAGTTGTTTTTGGTGTTGCTGACAAAATTTTCTTATGAGGAACTTCTTTTGACTCTTTTTGTGGTAAAACGGGAACTTTTGTGTGTTCAGCAGAAGTAACTGAGGGAGACTTGGACGAATTTTTTGATTTTTCTAAAAAAAGCAGTATAAATACAAAATACCACACAACAAATTAATCGAACCTTTATTTTCGAGATGGATTCTCTTGACTTTTAGTGTAAGCCGCTCTTGATTTTCTCCATTTTGGTTGATTGATTCTTTATTTTTGCTAGCTTTAGTGTCTTTAACAGTTAATTTTTCCATTACTGGACTCTCAGCAATTATTGAAGTATTCATTGGTGGTGTTGAAGCAAGATTAGGTGATGGTTGTTCCTGTCAATAAATAGACGTTGCGAAAAATCCGAACTTACGTTAGTTTTCAGCGCAGTCACAACTTGAGGCATTTCCTCGTGAAAAATTGGAGGCTCTGGAGCTTTAGGAAACAATGACAAAACTGTAGCAATCGAAGGCTTTTCTTTGGCCCAGTTAAATTTTAAGGGAGGAGCAGCAACTGATACTGGATTGGTCAATATTTGAATATCTGGTTGTAGTTGTTCAGTATTCTCAATATCAATTATATCATCATCTGGCTGACGATCATCAACCTGCAAATTTTAATTTTAAAAAATTTTCACAATAATCTCGTACTTTTCGCTTGTAGCCTCGTTTATTTTTCTTTGGTGATTCACTTTCAACACGTGAAGTTGAAAATGGCGATGGATCATACAATTGACGACCTCCCTCTGCGAGACGCACATGATCTTCCAAGCGCATAGCTAGATCGTCTTTATTTCCGCGAACATCCAATCCTTAACGAGGAAATTAAATCTAAACATTTCCCCAGATAAAGCTAATTTCTCAATAAAGAAGTTCAAAAAACCTCTATTCTGTAACTCTTCCTTCAAGCGTTGTAAAGGCAACAAAGAAATCATTGCGGGATTTAGAGGTCCTCCAGTAACACCAGCAGAACGTCTGGTTCTTACTTCCATCATTAATTAATTTGAAAATGTGAATCAATCCTAAAACATAAAAATAAATCTTGAAGGTAAAAAAACAAAACGAAAAATCGACAAAAACAGCCAAACTCATCAGTCGACCTTTTTGTCCATTTGATGAAACGATATTTAATTTCATGACAAATATCAAAATATCTAAAAAGTAAATAATGACAATTGGACAGAAGACAATTGGTCAATAATGATAGGTATACCAAAAAACAAAACGACAATTTGGTTAGGTCAAGAAAATACTGTAGATGGAGAGAACTTTTTAATAAAAACTAATTTAAAAAATCATTTAATTGGAATGAAAAAATATTTAATAAAAATATTAAAAGAAAACAAAAATTAATTTTTATTTTTTATTATCCTCATCAGATTCATTTTGATGATTTTCTTTAGAAGAGGAATTTGAGGAAGAACTTTCCTCCTTATTTTCATTTTCTATCGGTAAAAGTTTTGTTTTAAATTCTTTTTCTTCCCCTAAAGGTGCCGAATCTGCCCTTCTTTTTTTATTTTTTGAAGGATGAGGGAATGTTTTTGTTGATTTTATTTTTATAGGAGTTCCTCCATCTTCAACTAATTTTAATGTTGTATCTTCACTAAAACGTTGTTCTGAATTATTTATTAATAAATCTGAATGAATTCGATAACTATAAAGGAATTAAAAAATTAATTTAATTTTTAGAAAAAATGTCCAAACAGTTCAGAAGTTAATTCACTTGTAAAAAGTATTCCTGTATGCATTCCAACCATTCTAATAACAAAAACTCCATCATTTTTTAAAAATTCTTTAACAAAACATGCAACATGTTTACGTTCTTCTAAAAATTAAAATTAATTTTTTTAAACATTTTTGAGACAATTATAATGTTAATTTAATTTTTTTATTTATATTACATCTTAAATGAGTGATTTTATTAAAAATTCCCCCAAAATAGAACCGGTATTTGTCTAAAAATGGAAACTGAAAACCGGGGAGAAAACAGCTATAAATTTTAATTATTCCTAGCCACTTTATCAAACTCGGGATCCTTCATTCTATTTAAGCATCCTTACATTATCGAATATATGTAAAGGGATATTTAGAGAATTTTAAAAGAAAAATAAAAAATAATTTTGGAATATTTTTGTTTTTTTAATTACCCACTTTTAATTGTGTACATATCCAATTGTTTTTCACTTGGCTCCATTCGACAAAGTTCCAAAGCTTGGGCAATATACCACGTTCCAAAATGGGGGAATAACATCATTGTTAACCTAAAAATTGGAAAATAATTCTAAATTTCAAATTATTTACCAATAAATAAAAGAAATAGAAGTAGCTACAAGTAAAATACCATACCAGAACCACAAAAGAATAAAAACTTTAAATAAATTAAAATATTTTTTAAATTAAAATTTAAAACTTTTTTCTGTAAAAATATTTATTACGAGAACACATTGAACTGAATATTTTTGAATATTTGCCATTTGACGAACCTTGAAAATTTATTTTTAAAATTAAATAGGGCAGAAAATTAATATTTTAATATTTATTAAAGTATATGTTGAGTGATATAAAAGAAAAATAAGCTGATTATATCCCATTGGATCAGGGATTTGTCGGGTCGGGTTTCGTGCCAGGTTTTTAAAATTTTCTTCGGATCAGGCTTTGGATTAGAAGGTTTCGGTCACGTGTTTCGGATAACCCGAGCCATCACTGTATGGCATCTTAAAGTGCCGAACCGGAACAATCGAAAAATTGGACATAAAAAAGAATTTGTGATTGACTGAAGTTATATCGAACACTGGTCACTTATAAAATAGGAAAGATGACAGAAATTTATTTTTGTCAAATTTTCTAAATATAAATTTTAAAAATAAAAAAAACAAAACAGTAAAATCGCAAAGAGAAACACGAGGGAAATATCCAGAAGCCTGCCAAGGAATTCCTCTCATTAAATCTTGTATTACACTAATTCCATACCATTGATATCTGTCTGTCTCTAAAAATCTTTTATAAAAAATATTTAAAAATATTTTTTCCAAAAATTTACTTATTCATTAAATAAAGTTGAGCAAAAATATTGACAAGATATAAAAATTTTGTGAAGAGGTAAATAAATGAAATTAAACAGGCAGAGTATGTTATGTTGAGAAAACGCCTAGTTTAAAAATAAAATATTATTTTGAAATTTAATTTAAAAATGTAAGGAGAAGTATTGAAAACTAAACTTAAGAAAATAATAACCAAATATGTGATCGAATATGTGGGGGGGGGGAGGGGGGATATGAGAATCTAGCAAGTTATAAAGGTATATCTGTGAATTGATATCTAGGGATCTGGTGAGATTGAGGATAATTCGAAGAAAATTCTGTGATCAAAGAGGGTATCATGAAATTGGTGGATATCATAAATTTGCTTTCACTTAATCCTCCAAATCCCCTGATATCCCTCAATCCTTCCTTATTCCCACAAAGCGTATATCCCTCCTTAGCAGCCCTGATCTAGATCGTAATCGAGATTTTTGTTCTAGATTTAGTCTTGGTCCGGTCTCTAGCAGGGATGTCACGGGTTACCCGAAACCCGATACCCGAAACCCGGCCTTTTTTTCGACCCGATACCCGAAACCCGATCCGAGAAATTTTCTAAAACCCGACCCGAAACCCGACCCGAGAATTTTTATTTTTCAAAACCCGACCCGAAACCCGACCCGAGTTTTTTCAAAATTTTCGCCCGCGTCGCAGAAAAAGGGAAGATTTTTAGCTTAATGATCCTCCAAAATTCTGAAAATTTTCGCCTGCGGCGCTGAAAAAGGGAAGATTTTTAGCTTAATGACCTCCAAAATTTTGAAAATTTTCGCCTGCGGCGCTGAAAAAGGGACTTTTTTCGACCCGAAACCCGAAACCCGATCCGAAGAAAATTTTGAAAACCCGATCCGAAACCCGACCCGACTTTTTGCTCAACCCGAAACCCGATCCGAGAAAAATTTTGGAAACCCGACCCGAAACCCGACCCGACATTTTTCTCAACCCGTGACATCCCTGGTCTCTAGTCAGTTTCTGGCTAATCTCTTCTATTTTTCTATATAAGGAGACGAGGATTAAATTAAAAGGTTATCTAATAATTTCAAAAAAGTTAAAGTAAATTAATTAAAAATTAACTTGAAAAATTAAAAAAAAATTTCTTTTACATAGTTTTGTGTATAAATAAATGCCTATTTAATATTTGGTTTTGAAAACGCAAAGCTCTAGCCAAATGATTGGCTAACATAATTATTGTTCTGTGACGGCATTCATCCTAAAATAATTTTATGAAAATTAAAATTTTTTTAAAAATTTTTCCCACTTCCATATTTTGTGAATCTAAAGCTTTAACTACGATATCGTGAACACGAACACCTTAGAAAATAAAATATTAAAGTAAATAATTATAAACAGTAATAATAAAATAAAAAAATATATTTTAGCTTGAAAAGAAAGAGATCTCCTCTCCCTTTTAATTTTTTATTAAATTTTATTCGGATATGTTAATTAACAATTTTTGACTCGAAAGAAATCGCAATATTTTGTGAATTTAAGAATAATTCAGCTATCAAGGATAATTCACTTTTAAAACGCTTAGGCGGGGGTTAAACGATCCAAAAAGGGATAAGAAAAGCAGTAGTGAATGCCCCGGGCTGTTCCTTTCTTCAGAAAGCGCCTAGTAATAACTACGAAGAGATCACAGGTTTAGCCATCCTGCCCGATGGCTAAACTTTTACAAACTCTTTCTGAATACCTATTTAAAAATTTTTAAAAACATTTACCAGAACTAAGACTGGCAGCCTTCCATAAAATACTAAAATAATTTTTTAAACAATTTTTTAAAATTAATAACCTCGGTAATCTAAAACAAGCAGCCTGTAAAAGTAAAAAGAAGGGAACCCATTGATAATAAGAAAGTTTTCTTTCCTCTGAATATCTTTCAGATTCTTTAATTTGTGCAACATGAACTTCTGGAGGTAAATAATAAGTATCTTCTGACCAACAAAAATTTTCTGCATACTTTAGAAAATAATTTTATAAAAGGGAATAAATTGTTTAATTCTTTTAATTTTAAAATTTTTTTTTAAAATGAAGTTAATCTAATAAAAATAATTTTCATTTTTGAATTAAAAATAAGCAAAAAGACACTATAAAATACTAAAATATATTTTATGAATGTCTAGGAACTGTCTGTTAACAGACATAATTGAGGACTCGGACCTAAATTTTCTGTCCATTTTTCTTTCTAAATAAAATTTTATTTTATTATTGACACTTTCTTGTGTAATGTTCTTTAAATAAAAATATATTTAACAAATATTTTTTACCTGTTCCCAACTTCCAGGAAATTTATTTGGAAACATACACTCTAACGGTCTTTAATTTTAAATTTAAATTAATTTAAATTTAATTTACTATTTACCTTCCCCCAAATTGTTTAAAAGAAATTAAAACAGAAAAGGCTAACAACATATTTGGAGTATATAAATAATTCATTCTGTCGGCAAAATCATCTTTAAAAAAATTTTTTTTTAATTTTCAAAAATATTTTTAGCTACCGTCTTTATGCGCTGATAAATAACGCGCCATAGAAATTAATGCTTCGATCATCATTACTTTCTTTTATTTTAATTAAAAATATTTTTATTAAATTTTAAAAAATAATTTTAGAAAATTAAAAAATAAAAATGTTAAAATTAAAAAAATATAAAAAGAAAAACAACTTTCCAACAAAGCTCCTCCGTATAGTGAATTCCCTTCAATTAGGGTTGTGGTTTTCGAGTCGGGCCGACGTTCGGGTCATTTTTTCGGGCCTCATTTTTATTGGGCCGGCCCGACCGAGTCTTTTTCGGGCCAAAATTCGAAGCCCGACTCGATCTTCCGGACCGAACCGGGCCCCAACTCTACTTTCAATAAGTAAACTCCCCCCTAATTTGGTATATTCATTAATTAAAATATAAGCTTTCGTATTGTCTTTTATTTTCCCTTTTTTAAAAATAAAAAAGGAAAATTTCTTAAATATTTTTATTGTCGAGAGTTATTCTTCTAGAAAATCGTTTTGCGTCTTGCGACAAAAAATAACATTTAAAATAAGCAAGAAAATAGCGCGCGACTTTTATTTAATTTTTTCCCATTATATGTACATATTTTTTGTCGCAAACATTAAAATTAACAAATTTTCAAATAAATTTAAAATTTAAAAAAGAAAAAATAAATCGAAAAATAACAAAATTAAATTTAATTTAAAAATTTTTTTTATTGATTCCTCTCAAAATGTGCAAACAGTAGTAAAACTATAAACACTTTAAAATAATTTTTGAGCAAAATTGAAAGAGAAAAATAAATTTATTTTATTTTTGATTAATGTGGAAAATAGAGAAAAACAATTAAAAAATACTCAAAATAAATTTAATAAAATAATTATTTTAAAGTGGATTGATGGGAAAATTGAGAGGAAAGAGAGAGGAAGACTATTTATTTAATGGAGAATAAATTGTAACATTAAAAATAGGTCGAAGAAATCTGCTTACAAAGGAGATTGTCTGGGGTGTCCGTGGGACTTCGAGATGAAATTTGGTAGACAGACCCTATTTTAGTAGTTTAGAATCCCCCACATATAAACAATAACAATCTAGTTAACATGTGTTCAGCGGTGGTGCAATGGGATCATTTACTATACTAAACTAGGGTATGATCTATCTGTATACCAAATTTCATCCCGAAGTCCTATGGACACCCCAGGTACTCTCCTTTGTTAGCTAAGGTTGGGGATTCTTAAGACTTATTCAAAGTAGATTTACTACAAAGTTTCAATCTCCCCCTTCTTTGTAAAGAATGTCCCTCTTATTTCTACTTATTCATCCACTTTTAATTGTAAAACTATCGATCACAAAAATAAGATCAAAGGGGGAACAACGAACAATAAATAATATTAAAATTATAAAAAGACAACTTTTTTTGAGAATAAAAAATAAAAATAAAATGAGGTAAAAACATAAATAAAAACAAAAATTTGTGTAAATATTTTTAACGGTAAACAACAAAAAATATACATTTTACTAAAATATGTAAATATCCAAAATAGTAAAAGTACTAAATAAATCTTTGTTTACAAGCTAGTACACAATGTTTATTATTTTTTTTAAATTAAAAATAAAAACTGGATAAATTTAAATAGTAAATTGAGGATACTATTAAAAAAATTTTTATCATTTCCAAAGGTTGATAATTAATTTGTAATTCAACAATCAGGACCTTGTAGAAATGTTGAAAATTAAAAATAACTATTATAAATAACTTTTTATAATAATAAAAATAAATATTGGAAAATTGTTCAGTTATTATGATAATTTAATAAAATATAATTATTAAATTACAAAATTTTAATTTGAAAATTCCGGAAAGTTTTGGGGAAATAATTTAAAAAGGAATTGTTTTTAAATTGAATAATTACTTAAGAAATCTTTATTTTTTAAATTATTTGAGGGAATGTAGATTTTAAATCAAATCCAAAGTTAGGGGATTACGTGTTGTACTGAAATAATCAGAATATTTAAATAGCTTCGATCTTTATATAATTCTACGCGTAACTAGACAATTTTATTACTTAATAAAAATGTTTGTTTTAAAAAGCCTCTTAATTAGACTAACAAAAAGAAAAAACATTTTTATCATTTTCAGATTACAAATTTTAAATTTAAAAAATTAAAGTAAGTGTTTAATTAAATAAAAGCAGTGTAAACAATTTAAATTTAATTGTTCTTTCCTTCATATTTTCTTGTAAAAACGTTTTGTTTTCACATCATTATATTCCATATGCTTAAATTTAAAAAAAATAAAAACTTTGTCAAAAAAATATTTTTTTTTAATTTTTAAACTAATACTTAAGAGAGTAGTCAGTCACATTTAAAATCTTTAAAAAAATCCCCAATCAACTAACCATAACTAGCCATCCATCCCCATCAATAATATAGTCGTACACATCAGCTGGATCATTTGGAGCATCAACTTTAGTGTGAACTTCAGTTAAGGCATCCTTCTTTGCGTCGTAAGTAAATTTAATCTTTAAAAGAAAATAAATTAATTTAAATTAATTCTTTACTTTATGCATAGAATCATCCAAATATTCCGCAGTAAATTCTTCTCCCAAATTAAATTTAGGCCATTCAACGTTCTTTTTGGTTGTCTAGAAAATTTTTAGAAATTATCAAAAACTTCAATTCCTTCTTCATTTACCTCAATTTTGCATCCATAACTTCCATCATCATTTTTAGTAAATGTTTTGGTTATTCCAGCTAAAAGGTGCTGTAAATGCACAAATTTTTTTAAAATAATTATTACCTAATTTAACCATTTGGCGCATAAACCAGCCATAACCTTTTGCCTAAAGAGTTGAAATTAATGAAAATATAGTTTTATAATTTAAAAAAATCAAGAAGAGGGGGCTCTCCCGAATTTAAGAAAGGTTCTGATTCAGTTAAAATTTTTTGGGACCAAACAGTGGTTGGTTCCTTCTGGGTGATCATTTATGGGTCCGATTATTAATCTCTTTCTATAAAAATTTATCAAAAATAAATCCCCCTCCCTCCTTTACCTCCAAATATTCATCAAAGTTCTCGCTGTGATCTACAGTCCAAGAACCGAGAAATTTGTCTGGCAAAGCTTTAGACGTTGTAGAAACAGAAGTTAAAGCAGAAACGGATGAAATTGAGATAATTGAAATAATAAAAAAAAGAATTGAAATGATTGAAATTATAGAAAGTATGGGGAAGTAGAAGAAACGCATTCTGTTTTTGATAAAGATTTTTTTTAAAAGTTAAAGAATCTGAAAAATTTAAATTAAAAATTTTTTAAAATAGGACAGAGTTAAGCTTGTAAAATAAAAGAAAAATGAGGGAATTATGTATAAATATTTTATTGAAGGTTTCTCTTCAATTAATCACTCTTTTAAAAAATCTGAAAGCAAAAATTCTAAAATTTATTTTCGAAAAATCGGCTATTGGATAAGAATTATTCCTCTTAATTAATTTTAAATTCAACAGAAAATGTTTTTATCTGAATGTCAGAATTTTATTTTATACGGAATGGGGAAACTAAATTAAATATGCTAGTATTTATTGTAAAAAATTTGTAGGAGGAGTTTTTATTTAACATTTCCCTACCATTTAATGGCAATATATTTTTGTAATAATTACTGGGAAAGTTTTTATTTAGAAAAAGGAAAAAAAGTGCTTTAAAGCTAGAAAAAAGGTTGTAAATAGTATGTAGAATGTACATATGTAAATATGTTTTTTTAATATTAAACTTTATTTTTTTAAATAAAACATTACAAAATTGAATATTCTCTTAAAGAGATCTATTTGAATGTCCTCTTTTTAGTTAAGTGTAAGGGTTTGGTCCCTAACTCTGATTCCCCAGCTCCGCCCGACGATCCCCGACACCGAAATCTGACAGTCTATTTCCCGATATCTCCATTCATCTAAAAAGTTATCAATTCTAGTTTAGCGGTCATCATTATGGGGATTCGAATTCGTGGAAAATACTATTCCTGAATTCCTCTCTTTAGTTAAGTGTAAGGGTTTGGTCCCTCTTTCCGATTCCCCGCTTCCGTCTGACGATCCCGAAATGACTGTCTATTTCCCGATATCTCTATTCCCGAAAGAGTTATCAACCCTGGTTAAGCAGTCAAGGGATTCGAAATTGTGGAAATACCATTCCAGAATTAAAGGCGTTTTGTGTTAAATAAATAAAGTCTGTGAATAATCAAATAATAATTTAAATTATTAGAATTTTAAAAAGTTTTTTGTCCTTTTCTTCAGAAATTATTACAGATTATAAATTATAACAGGGATTGTGACATAAAAACTTTCTAAAACGTTAATCATTAATAAAGAAAAAGTTTTTTTATTAGAAAATAAAAATCTAGAAAAATATAAAGACAACAACGTGCTTGCTCTTTTAGCTTATTTAAAAGTAAAAAAGAAAATTGTTGTCCATTACTAACCCTTTTCTTTCATCAACGTAGAGAGAAGGGGGGTGAATGGCAATTTATATTTTTATAAAATTTCTTTTTGTTTAGTTTTTTATTTATTGCTCTTAATCACAATTTGCCCATCATCAATTTATTTTTATTTTATTAGCTATTGGAAAAATGAGAGAAATAAAAAATATTTTTTTTAAAGTAAAAGAAAAATTTTTTCTTTTTGACACAAATAATTTCCCCGTAGTTTCTGTGACATTTGAATAATTAAATGGGACATTGGCTAACTTCAAAGAGACCGCCAAGTATTGTAGAATAAACAAACAAAAATAATCTTTAAATGTTGGTTGGCCTCTTTGACGGCACTAAAATATACATAGATATGCCTAAGTATATCTTTTATTCCTTTTCCCTTATTATTCTCTTAGATAACTGCAAATTTATCAAATAAAAAATCAGATAAGAAAAATAAAAGCAAAATAAAAAAGTCAAAAATGCTTTAAACAAAATCTTTTATTCTCAAGTACTTTTTGTGTACAAGAAGATCTTTAATCTTTCTAATTTTCTTTAAAGATAACTTTACTTACTTATATGTATTAGTTAGGTATTGAAAGAAAAATATTTAAAAATGCTTTTAAAAAATACACAAAAGATACAATTTCTAAAATAAAAATACAAAAAAATATTTTTCAAAAAAAATTCTGGCAATAGACCCCCTTTCTTTTCCCTGAATCCCTCTTTGCATTTGTTCTCATTTTTTCTGGATATTATATATCATTTGAAAGTTATCTTCGAGCTGAGTCAAATGACACTAAAATTAACGAAATATGACATAAATCAAGCAAATTATGATTGTCTATTTTAATCCATTTTAGCGGCTCAAAAAGCTTTTCCGAGGATTTAGCTTCATAATTCTGTTCAGAATCAACAGATTTAACATTTTGGTTTAACACACAGCTCAAATAGTTCTCTTGGTAGTGGGGCCAATTCTAGTTCGATAGAGGCCTGTAGTCTATAATTTTTCTAATTGGGTCAGGATAAAAAAGGCCGAAAATTGGCAAAAGATTTAAAATACATTTATTTTAAAAATACAAAAAAAATTTTACAAAAAAATATTTTTTCTAAAAATTCATTAAATAATAGGTGGGGGTGTTGGAGGAGTTCCAGCACGAGGTATAATAGGTACATGTTGTAATCCACTATCAGTTCTGGCTGTTTCAAGTAATTCATTATCTAAACCTTCTAACCAATATGTGAGGAGAGTGCCAACACCCTTAAAAATATTTCTAGAGTTTTTTAAATTAAAAACCCCTTTCTACCTCAATTCTAACCCCTCCCCTCGGTGCACATTTAAATTCTGGAAATTGTTCAGAAAGTAATTGGTAACTCCTCAGAGTCATCTGAATTTTGTCTGGCTGACCAGAATTTTCCATTTTTGCAGCTAACGTTACTTTAATGGAATGGAAAATTTTAAACTCAATAAATAAAGGAATATACCAGTTGTGCCAAACACACAATAACGTGGAGCTGTTATCCCAACAACGCCTGGAATAGAAATAGAAAAGTTTAGAAGGGTGGGATATTTAATAAGCTAATCTATCCTCCTTATTTCAGTGTCCATCCCTCCTTATTTCAGTGTTTACAGTAAAACATATTATTTTAGATCATTAGTCAATCATTTTCGTTCGTACAGTAAAGCTTTGTTCAACTTTGTTCAATAAATCCGAGATTTGCCCAACAATCGAACGAATGCTAGATTTATTTAAAATCTTAAAAACTACCAGTAAAAACACTTCCAGAATTAAACCCCCAACGGCAATGGAGGTACTGTGAAGGTCTATGAGGTATTTCATAATGACAAAGAAACTAAACAAAATAATAATTTTTGTAATTTTTATTATCAATTTAAGTACATCTCTTTGCAATAAAGCAACAGAAGCAATTTCCTTAATATGGCTGTCCATCTGTTGGGGAACACCCGAGGCGACCATATAAGCATCCCCTTTAAAAAATTAAGGAAAAATATTTTTAGTTATTTAATTACCTATAGTTTCTACTTTAAATGCTTGATGTCTACTTATTGCCTAAATAAAAAATTTAAAAAAAACTGGGAAAAGTGATTTATTACTTCATCAAAAGCACGAAACATTCCATTAAGCTAAAAAATAATTTAAAATAAAAATACTTTTTTTAGTATTTGAAAATTCAGATTTTGATAGAAAAGACTTGAAAATAAAATATTTAATCATTCTCCTTTCCAAAAATTTCTCATTGCATATTTTTAATTAAAAATAAAGAAAAATAAATTTAAATTAAAAAAAGTCTACCAAATCCACAACTTCCATCGGAGCACTTTCACTACAAAGAGAGGTAAATCCAACAATATCGCTATACATAACAGTAACGGAACCATAAAATTGAGGTTCTACACGAAGACCGAGACGAAGTTCATCAACCACCGACCTTTTAAAGGGGAGTAAATTAAATTTAAACCCCTGTATTTACGTAAACCCTTTTGTAGGGAACTTATTATGAATAATATAAGGTAGATTTTCCAGAAAAGTCTTAAAAAGTGCCAAGGAAAAGATGGTAGAAATACATTAAATAAAAGAGTACGTAATATAGAGGTTTTGACTTAAATAAAATTTAATAAATAAATTTCCTCTCTACTTTGGCAACAATTCTAAAAGAATTTGTTCAACCATTTGTTGTTCTTCTTCTAATTTCCCTGTTTGTTCTCTAACCAAATTTTCGAGATTATTTGTATATTGTTCCATATTCTAATTTATTTTTTTTAAATTATAATTAAATTAATTTAAACATTAATTACTTTTAGAAAATTATCAACTAAACTTCCAGGCCTGAAAAATTTTCGAAAAATAATTTATCTAAAAATAAAATTGAATAAATTACATTTTCAATGTTGCATCAGTTATTTTCCTTACCATATTAGCATCGGGCCTAAAAAATAAATTTAAAATATTTTAATATTTAATATCCGTTTTAATAAGATAAACAGATATTTGAATTATTTTTTGACCGAGAAACTGGAAAAGAGAAGGACTACTCCTCTGTTTTTTAAATTGGGTATTGTCAAGGTCACTTTTTGATCACTCAAACACTCGAATGTGAATAAAAGGAGCAGGACCATTCACTAGATATAGGCTTTGATATGGATTCATATCAGTTGATTTATTTTTCCTGGATTGTGGGCCAAGAATTATCAAGGGCTCTTTTTTTATCAATCCTCTTGTAATTTCAGAACTTTACTTTCCATAAACTCAATTAAATATTTTTATTTATTTCAATACCTTTGTTCTGGTTTTCCAAAACATTTTTTCATTAAAGCAACCAAATCAGGATGTACTCTTTCATTAACAACCCCGTTAATTGTAGAATCTGTATTATCTTCATTCTTTTATTTTAAAAATTTAATTAAAAATTTTTTAAAGTAAATTACAGGAAATTCAGAAAAAATAGGTAAATGTTCTTCTGCAGCAGCACTAAAAATACAAACATCATCCTCGAGAGCTTCAAGACCATTAGATCCTTTACGATTTTTAAAAATTTTTAAAGTTAATATTCAAAATTTTTCGTTAAGTTTTATTAATAGACTAATTAATTATTTAAAATTTTTCAAAATCCTAGTAAAACTTGTAAGCCTATGAAGATTAAGGATATTTATAGACTGATTAGGGCCGGGTATGTTGATTGCCATATAAGCTAGCCGAAGTTCAATGATCATCATAGATCAAGCGGAGCATAAATGGGGGGATAAGGTTGTAAGGTTGGTTGTCACACCTACTTTTGATCTATAAAGATCTTTAATCTTTTGTGGCATAAACACCAATCAAGTACCAATAAAACTACCAATCAAATAATTTATTGGACATGTTTTAGTTCACATAATCTACTACTTTTATTTAATTACCATTAAATTCAACAAAACCTTCGCTATAATCCTCCGTTTCAGCAATTCTAAAAATATTTTTTTTCAATTCAAAAATAATTTAAATATTTAAATTACCTTCTTCTGTAAAGAATTTCATATAAAATAGCACCAAATGCATACCTTTTTTTAAATATTTTTTTAATATTTTTTAAATTATTTTAAATCTAACATATCATATGTTTGGCCATCCAAATTTGAAAATTCCTAGGAAAATTTGAACTTTTTTTAAAGAAGATATAGTTATCTAGTTTACCAAATCTTCCACTTTATTTCTTAAAACAGCCGCTCTAATAGCTGTACGGAATTCAGGAGCATAATAATGCAATTCTAAATTAATTTAATATTTAATTATAGGGAAGGGCATTGATAAAATTTAAATTTATAAGAGAACAAAGTTGGACGGATATTTATTAATAATTATTTCCTCATTAAGAATAGTATAAATTATTTCTTTATTATTAACATTATTAAATTATTTTAGATCCTCTATTTTACTCAAAAAATCTAAAAATATTTTTTCCAGGCCTTGTAGACTTTTCCAGGCCTTGTAGACTGGAAACCCGTGTATTTTGATAAAATCCGGTTTTTCGAGGTTTTAGCCACTATAATTTCTATATTAATTTTGAAGACAAGTTTAGATGTACTATTATTTCTCTAATTTAATCACAAAATTATTTAAATATTTTTCTTCCTCAAAATTTAAAATCCCTACCATTATTTGGAATTAATGGCTGAATAAATTGTCTATCACCATTACTAAGTGTATTATTAAAACGCCATTTGTAAAGCATTCGGGAAGTTCCAAAACCTTTGGGAAAAGAATTTCAAACATAAAATTTAAAAATATTCACCAGATAATTTCAAAATCCAATGACTATCAATTAAACACCGAGAAGAGGTTAACGCTCCATGATAGCCTATAGAAGAGCTGTGGATAAAATCCAGACCCTTAGAAATTAATTTTTTTAAATTTTTCCTTTTTAAAAATACTTTAATAATATCCCTAACAAAAGCACTTTTAAAGTTTATATCAATAGAATCATTTCTTCTAGTTCTAATTGTAACACCTTCTTCGCTAGTTAAAGAAGCAACACTAGCACCTATACCTCCTGGAGCACCTGGTGCTGCTTCCTTTGAAAAAAAATATTTTTTAAAATGGAGATTAAAATATAAACGATAAGAAATATTGGAAATTAAAAATTAAAGCAATATGCTAAACCTAGCCTTTCCAATAATTTTATTATTTCAACATTGAATGATCTAGTTTGGCAGAAGATTTGGTGTTGGATATGGCCTCTCGCGCTCCCCTGTCTCAGATTCTCCGTTCCCCAACAGCCGTCCCGACATCTCCTTTCCCTGAAAAGTTATCCCCGATGTGCCGGGGTCTAACCCAACTTCCAATATATTTTACAAAAAAAACAATTTTAAATTACAAAATAATTTTCTACATTATTAGTAGGGAAGAGCAAATCCTCCAAAGTTCCTCTAAAACAATATCTCCAAATAACCATTAATTCATTTGGTCTATCAACACAAACACCCAAAAAAGGGTTTATATTATCATGAACTATTTGCTTCATCTATTTATTTAAATTTTAATTTTTAATTAAAATTATTTTCAATTTTTACTTGAAATAATAATTGCATATCCTTTTTGTCAAAAGATAATTTTTCTTTTAAATTGTAACATTCAATAATTACAAAACTTTGTTCAAGTGTTCCAATATGTTTGCTTTGTACTGGGGGTCCTCCTCTTCCTTCTCGCATTCCAAATATTTGAATATTCTGTTTTTTAAGTTAGAAAATGATTTTTTTAGTTTGGATGAGGAATTTTTATTTAAAACAGGGCCCTTCTACTAGAAGGTTATTGAAAAAATGAGAATTATTATGTTTAACTCTAGTTTAAAATTAGGTATTCAACTCATTCGCTAAGCTTTTTGCTCTCACGATAAGTATGAAATTTTTAAGCTCGATCATTCTCCTCTAGAGACGATCTGGGAATATCATACGAGAATCGAGATTTATATCTCAGAAAATATCGATATCGGTAACCGACATTTTTGTTCTAAATCTCGTCTCGGTCCAATTTCTATTTTTTTCCAAAATCTGATATTAACATTTTTAAGGAGGATAATATTTTCCTTATTCCTTTTACCTGTTGATTTGTTTGTTCATTATTAGTTAAATCTTCGCTATTTCTTTGCTCATTTAGTTGTTGATTATTTTGAAATATTTGTTCATTATGGTTTAAACTGTGTAGAGACATACTCTAAATTATTTTTTCGATCAAAATATTTTTAAAAATAAGTTTAACTGAAGATCCTCCATATCCATTTACATCAACAAAGGAAATTAATTGTTCAGAAACATAATAAGGCATTTGGGTAGTTTCGCCTTTTTTACTGCAAAATTTAATTAAAAATTGTGGCAGATATGGTTAAAATTAAATTATTAACTAAATAAAAATTAATTAGTTATTTTATTGCTACTATATTTTTTTTCAACCCAAACCGAAGATTTCCGGTCTGTTTTTGTTTTTATTTCACATTTTTTGTGACGTTTATTTGCCATGTTTTATAATTTTTTCTGAATGTTAGTGACCCTTTTAAGGTACTTTTTAGTGAATAAATTTAAGTCGAAGAATTTGGGGGAACCGACAACTAAATAAAGACCGGATCGAGACAATATCTCGTTCAAAAATCTCGGTTATCGAGATCTCAATTCTCGTGCGACACTCCCAATCCGGTCTCTATCAACAACCCTACGAATAAATAAATGAGTAAATAATCCTGATATGTACATAAATTATACCAATAACTAATTGTTTTAACTAACAATTAATTGGTTAATTAAAAATAATTTTTCTAATTAAAAAAACAATTAATTGGCCTTTTATTTTTAAAAAAAAATATTTAGTACATACACTCTTCTGAAGCACAAAAATATAACAATTCCCAAGCTAGCAGCAGCAACAACACTTACAATAATTATTATAATACTTAAAATTTTCAAAAATAAAATTAAAGATTTCTTTTCATTCCAATAACCTTTTATTATCACAAAGTTCCCCATTAAATCCACAATTTGGAATATCTTTGGGAAAATTATCAGGCAATTTCTGATTAACAACAAATAAATTGGCTATCTTTATTTTTAAAAAATATTTTTGGAATTTTTAAATTATTCTACCAATCCAACACAAACTCCATCTGCAGTAAGTTGGGATTTTGAACAGTCTGTAGTTATTGAAATATTTGCAATTTCATCCATATAATTTTGCTTTAAATTCGAACAAATAATTAATTTTTGATTAGAAATGAAGGTATAATATACCGTATGTGCTCGAATAATTACCCTCTCTCAAACAATTACTCCCTTTCGATTACCTCTATCAAGAGATTCAAATAATAATTATCCTCGACCAAATGTCCTACATATATTCAACTTTTATAACTCGAATAATTGGCCCTCTCTCGAATAATTTCCCTCTTTAGAGAGAGAACCTCTAGAAAATTCAATATTCGAAAATCTTGTACCCCCGATTTTTTCCAAAGGGGTACCCCTTATGAAAAATATTTTTAAATTTTTTTATTGAGCATACTATAAGGTAGTCATTAATTATTCACTCAATATAATTTCCGGAAAACTGCATCCGGAAAAGTTAAAAACAAATAAAAATAAAAATTTCCAACCGTTTGGTTGTTTGAATTATACGAAAGGACCAAAAAAAGTTTGTAGGGAGCTATTCGTTTTTGATATCCACTTAAAGTTATTGTGCCAAAAGGGCCTAAAAGAATATTTTCCAAGAAAAAGAAGCATTTATTCCAAAAAACCTTCCAAACTTTGCCCAACAGCATCAGCCAAAATCGTCCCATTTTGATAAACAGACAGATCATTTGTGCTGCTGTATGCATGCCACAAAGCTAAAGCATAAGTCCAAAAACATTCGTAAAGCTTTTTTATTTAAGGGGTTTTGTCAGAAAAAATATAATTTTACTTGAATTGATTGAAGTAATTTATTTCTTTGTTGAATACCAGAATCGGTACTTAGCCCCATTTGTTTAATAAAAGTGTTTATTTGATCATTTGAATAAAAATCGTTGACAAGCTTTTTTTAAAATTAAATAGAAAAATTTAAAAAAAGGGAAATGCTTCCAAAAAATATTTTTCGTTTAGGGGACTTTCCCTCTAAATTTTTTAAAAACAAAAGAAAATTATTGTATAAGTCAACCAAAAGACAAGAGATAAGTCGGTAACTCTTTTTGAATTTTTGTTAAGTAGACACCAAAGATCTTGCCGTTCCTATATAGAGTTGGGGTTTTCAAGTCTGGCAGCCGTTCGAGGCCCGACTTCGTTCGAGGCCCGTCCGAGTCTTTTTCGGACCAAAATTCTTTGCCCGACTCGATCTTTCGGACCGGGCCGGATCGGACCCCCAACCCTATACCTCAGAATAGGAATTTATTTTTTATTTTAGCAAAATCACTACTAAATTATTACCACTAAATTATGTTGAAATAAATCAAGCATTTGTTTATTTAATTTATAATCTCCATTTGTTTTTTGCATCCAAGGTAAATCCATTTCTGTTGGCCAATAACGGGTAATACAAAGAATTGGGGAATAATCAGTCTTTAATGAACAATATTAATTTTTAAATATTTAATTAATTAACTGTAGATATTCCAAGAATTTGTAGAGCAGTCAAAAAGTCGACATAATCGGATAATTGATCCCCCAAAACTGCAACAATTACTGAAAAAATATATTTTATTAATTAACCAATTAATTGTTAATTAAAAAACAATTAATTGTGTTCTATTAAAAATTAATTTAACAATTATTTGGTTGATTTACGAATTTATTTTTTAATATAAAATATCGTATTTACTTAAATAATTACCTCTCTCTATTAATTACCCCTACAATGAGGGGTCGAAATAATAATTACCCAGAGTAATTATTTGAGAATTTACGTTAATTTAAAAATTGTTTCCTCTATTCTACCTCTAGCCTTCTGTTTAACATCCTTCAATTGAGAAGCATAAGAACTACTTGAATTGCTTCCATCTTTATTTGGAGAAAGTTGAATATGTGAAAGAATTGTTATCTTAAATAAATAATTAAATTTTTAATTTAAATTTTAAATATTTAAAGTTATTTCCTTTTAAAAATTCCAAAAGAAAATTTCCAAAAAAACAAGCTTTAATTTAATATTCTAATTAATTTCCTGAAATTTCATCCGGAAAAGATAAACTTAAAAATAAAAACATCATTATTAAAAATTCTCACTTTCCCTTAAGTGACCTATCAAAAAATTAACTTTTTTTTAATTTTTCAAAAATTAATTTAAAATTTATTTTTTATTTTTAAAATTTTTTATTCACTTTATGGTCTGTAAGAAATGATTCCATACTTGTACCAGGCTCAGCTTTATCTCCACAATCTGGACAACTAATTAAAGCAATACTTTTCCAATTAAACAAAGTTAGTGTAGACAATAGATTTACACCCAAATTGGTTATTGACATTGTTGACATCTTTTTTTTAATTAAAAAATTAATCCAAATTTTATTTTTTTGAATTTACAACGTCAAGTAAAGACTGAGTTTTTAAACCAGTTAAATAAAAATTTTTAGTATCGTATTTTCTAAAATAAGGTTCCATGGAGATCTACTTCCAACAAACCTCCAAACAAGGAACTTTATTCAGATGCATCGTGGGGCTCTATTGTAGGCGGGCGCTATTATAATACTAATGCAAGAGTTGTCAGTTCTCAATAAATTCCTCGAGTAACTGAAACTACCGAAATTTTCAGTTCAGGTTAAAACTGTCGGCCCTACTCAAACCCCAAAAAAGCACTCGATTAAAAAATCGAAATAAACAAAAATTAACCCCAAAAATCAGGCGATGTCTAAAAGGTATTTAAAGCTAATTCAATTTTCTAACGAATTTTTATTTAAAAATTTTTTATTTACTTGAATAATACTGTTAGGTGCTCTTTTAAATAAAGAATTATTTCTATTATCTTGCCAAAAATCGAATTGAAGTAAATTTTCAGTTGAAGATAATCTTCCAATTAATTCAATATCTATATATAAATTTAAAATCCCTCTTCTTTAAATTAATTTTCCCTTTACCATGTGAGCAAATAGGTCCAAATAAAGCACTAATATTCGAATTATAAATCATTTGTAATGCTTGAAATGAGCCCCCAATGCTTTGAACGCCTGTTGGGCATGAACCACTTGAATCGTATGATTTAACACTGAAAATATTTTAAAGGGATGTAATAACTATTTAATTTAGAAAATTTTTTAGTATGCTAGAACTGTTATAAGTAATATTACTAATCATTTTAGACTGTATATGAAACTATTAAAGAGGTATTAAGTGTCTAATCCTCATTAGGTTAGAGACTGGACTTGGTGATAGATGGGGATCAATGTTGGTCAATTATAAAGAGATTTTAGAAGGAAATCTAGTCTTTGCCCGATCTCTTTTACAAATAAAAATATTATTTTAATATAACATTCGAAAAGCTTGAAGAAAACAATGAAAAATTGAGGGGCATTTATTGTAAGGTAAATATGTATGTAAACTTGGCAAAATTTAAGGACGGGAAAATAAAGAGGGAAGATTTAGTTCTATAGTTGCGTTCGTTTTTGATATCAAAATTTGTAAACAAAAATACACCTAATTTGAAATATATCACGTTGAGTTAAATTAAGTGTATGTAATTGTTGATTAGCCATAGTTAAAAGTTGTTCACTAGGTAAAGTCTCAACACTAACCAAACCTACAGTAACCGAAGCTGTAGAAGAATTGGTAATTAATTGTGTAAATGATTGACTAATTGAAGTAATTAAGGTTAATAGAAAAGGCAAAAATTTGGAGTAATGTACAGGCAATAAATATACAGGCAAAAACACAAAAAAGGCACTGAAAAATTTTTTTAAATTTAAAATAAAGTTTTTAATTCCACACCTTTTAGTAGAGCATGTCTTGCAACAAGTTGGAATTTTTTAAGCAATAGTTTAAATAATATGTACGATGTTTTATTTGTTTCTGAATTTAGACGTATCTGTAGATTATATTTTTTATTAATTTAAAAGAATTAGGAAGGTAAATACGGCGAAAAAGAAAACAAAACAAATAACACCTAACTTAGAACACACTCAATTTAAGGTAAATTCTTAAAATTTGGATATCAATGGGTGGGAAGAGCTGTCTAACTATGAAAGCAATATTCCCAACTTTTTCAACATAGCGTACGGAAAATTTATGATTGACTTATGAAGGCGTTTGCAAGTTTCGCAATAATTATATAGAATGCGTTTAGTTAATAAATTCGTAATCCCGGTTTTTAATTATATATTTTTCATTTGCCATAAAAAACAAAAAATTGAGAAATTAAACCCCACAGGAAAATACAATAGAACAAATAAAAATCCTTTATAATTGCGAAAATACTTGCAAACACCTTCATAATGCATATTTTGTTGTTAAAGTCTCCACATCCGTATATTAAATACAGATAAATTTTTAATTTACGAGGTTACTTTTATTTTTACGTTTTTGGTGTCTTCCTCTTGACAATTTAAATATTTATTTAAAAATTGGTTGCTAGTATCTCTAAATAATCAAAAGCATCGATTCTAAAAAATATATTATCCTCTCGGTTGGCATTAACAACGGAAGAATTGTTTTAGCTAATTGGCGGGCAGATTCATCTCACGCGGCAAAAATACATAAACATTTTTAATTATAATTTAAAGAGAAATTTAATTATAAAATAAAATTTATAAGTAGTTAAAAATAATAATATTTAATAAATTGGTTTAATATTAAATATATTAATATTTCCTAATATTTTATACGTACTGCTAGAAAATATGATTACGCCTAGTGCTGGGTATGGGTAGTCGCGAACCATCTATGACGCTAGCTTCTCAGAAGATTCCCGGAGCCGAAGCAAAGAGTTTAAAATCCAGAAGCTCACAAAATTTGCACAATTCAACACGGCTCCGAATACACAACGAATATACACCAGATTTTTTGTTAACTAAACTAAGGCTTGTCGCGAAACATCAATGAACCTATTCGAGACCCTTATCACTACATATAAGACTTATGCTTACTAAACTAGAAGCTAGTCGCGAACCATCTATGATGTTTAGACCTATTCTAGACCATTATCACTATGATTTATGCTTACTAAACTAGAAGCTAGTCGCGAACCATATGACGTTTAGACCTATTCGATCTAGCCGAAGATTAGTGATCTGTATAGATTAAGGTGGGGGCTAGGTTTATTTCTATCTAGGGTTGCCGAAGATCAGTGATCTGTATAAATTAAAGTGGCTATCTTCCAGATAAAATTTTAAAGGATAACCATCAAAAAACAAAATTCAACAAATATTATTTATAAACAGCAAAATAATATTTTGGATATTAGACACTTATGAAACAAAAACAGAAAAAGCACCTAGCCAAACAATTAAAGGAAATAATTTTAAAAATCTAGGATCAGCTAAAATACAAAAATATATATTTATTAATTTTTGCTATGTGCTTTAAACAGAAAAGGGAATTTATAAAATATATGTACTTTTTCTAACACAAAATAATATCCTTCTTTTCTAGAACCCATAAAATCAATTTAACACTACCTGAGAAAGGCCGCCTTGTTCTTTAATTAAAAATAAATTTGTAAAAAATTATTTAAAGAAATAAAAATCTTACAAGCCTCGCCACCTCCCGTAGTTGAATGGCCACCGCTTTTACTAGTATCCTGCCTCCAAGCTGGTTTCTTTACTAAAAAATTTTAATTATTACTACTTTAAAATATTTAATTTTATTAGATAAATTGGATTTTAAGAAGGTACAAAGCAAAAAGAGAACCTAATAAACTCAAAATCCAAAATAGACTAGCTAATAGATAACTAAATATTTTCACAATATTTTTTTCAGTTAAGAATTCATTAAAGCATTTAACAAAATTTTTTTAAACAAAAATTAGTTGCTTACCACTACTCTCTTTATCAAGCTCCGAAAGTCTTGCTGAAGAAATGCGACTTTCAGTTTTGCTGTCGCGTGGATACAAAGAACTGGCTGCCTAAATAAATAAAAATTTTGTTTTAAAATTGAATAGGAAAAATAACCGCAGCTTGACGCCTATCAGCCGAACTTCTACCTCCGTAACCAGTTCGACCAGTATTTGGTTTCCGCAAAAGCTGGACCTTATCCTGTTGCTTTTCGTGCTAAAAAAGAGAAAAAAAAGTTTAAAAAATTAATTTTATTATTACTGCAATTCGTTCCAATTCATTTACTTGTTGCTCCTTTTCCACCTCTTCCCTTACTTCATTAATTGTTTTTGGACCTTTTTCGCCTCCACGAGGCACCCAATGATTCTTTTTCAAATCTTCGAGGTCCATTATTGCAAAACGAACCTTTAATATTTTTAATTAAAAAAAAAGAAAAAATAAAGTTGGTTACTCGATTGGAAACTTTAGGTTTGAGTTGACTCAAATGAGAAACAACCATATCCAAACGAAATTGTTCCTGCTAAAAATTAAATTAAAATTTTAAATTGTCTATCTAATTTCTAATTTAATATAACCTGCTTTTCACCAGAAATAATCTGAGCTGAAGTCTTCTGCTGTTGAAGTTGGCGCATTCCTGGGCCTTCCTGTTCTGTCCGCTTTTCATAGTTTTTTCCGACTGTTTCGATCAACTCCACAGCATACCTAAACGGCATTTTGCAAAAAATAGGTGAAAAATAAATTACTCGATATAAACTTCATCATGTGTCGCTTCGAATCTACGCACTAATTCAACAGCACACCAATCGATAATCTAAAATAATAAACTTAAAAATTATTATTCTATATATCATTCACCGTTTCAATTAGCAATTGATGTCGATATAATTGTCCAATAAATTTTATAATCCCCAAAAGTCGACGTTTTTCTTTAGAACGACGAGTTTCGAGTTCTTCTTCGAGTAATACACGAGTCTTATCATCTGCAGTCTCTAATTTTTCTGTTAATTCTTTTACTTTATTGTCATACTCATCAGAAGCAAGAAAAGTACGTTGAGATTTTGTAATGATCTCAGCTCTAAAATTCTTTAATCAACAAATTTAAATCAAAAACAACCTAAAATTCTTCTTCTCTTTTGGCTTTTCAGCTTGATTGTCTGCCTGATCTGATTGCTTATCAGACTGTTTATCGGGTGTTTTATCACGCTGTAAATACATTTGGCGCTCGACATCAACCTAACAAAAATATTAAAATCTTCGCTCATTTTCTTTTCGATACCTGTTTTTTGCACAAATCAGAATAAAGAGGACAAAAATGTGGCTCTTCTACAGCTTTATCAAAAATCAGATCAATAACTGGAGTCAAAAGTTTAGTGTCTTCAATAAATTTATAGGCACAGAATTCATCAGAAAGCTAAAATTCAAAGGAATAATTATCAAACAAAAATCTAGAAACAAACCTCTTGATATGAAGAAGGTGTGATTTTATTGAGCAAACCACGCACTTCTTTTTTGATTTTCTAAAATATTGAAATAAAATTTTATTAAAAAAAACAAACATCATGTCGAGCTTCTTCCTCATCTTTAACAGGCGCATTCATATCAAAACGTTCTTCACGTTTTGATTTCCAAGCATTAGCAGACTTTTTAGGTAAAGTATCAGTCTAAAAGTTTGTAATTGTATCCGTGAAATATAAAAATCAAACCTTTTCTATTTTTGTTGGTCTCTGATCCAAAGATGGACGGCAAACAATTGGCCCTTTCTTTGGCTTTAATTTATTATCACTGTGACGGCCAACTAAAATTAAACAAAAAATTAATTACTTGCAAAATTGGCAAACCATAATTTGGCGGGCGAGTAGAGCCAAACCGCGATCCCCCACCGAATTGATTAGTAGTTCCAAATTGAGCATTACCACCCCCTCCTTGATGCTGCCATGAAGGCTTGAAATCACCACCAGCAGCCTCAAACCGCTTAGGTTTCGATCCAATCGATAACTGATTAACAACCATCCCTTTCTTGCTTAACCCCAACTCCTCAAGTTCCTGCTCAGATCTGGGACATTCAACAGTTTTTATTGCCTAAAAATAATTCTAAAATAGATCAAAAATTAAACAAAAACGAACACGTGCGACTTTTCGAAGAAGCATGAGGAAAGAACGGCTATAAATCATTTCATCAAGATTATGTGTGTCATCACTAAAAATGATTTGATATAATGAAAAAATGTATATTCAACGAGAATAGGTTTTTAAAAAAATAACCGAATTCCATCAAACTTTGCCATCGCTTCTTCTAATTCGCTAATTTTTTCTTCGGAAGTTTTGGCATCGTTAATTTCAGTTGGCGAAGGACTCTGTCCACCATCAACTTCCTTGAATATTATAAACATATAGGCAAATATGAAGTTAATAAAAACCTGTCCAGAAAAAATATCTACTATTGCTTTATTAGCATGTTTTCCATGTTCATCCGATTCAGGCAATCGAACTCTTTGTTCATCAACATAAAGTGACGGACTTGTTCGAACAAATTTAAGTTGGTCTTCTTCATTTTTAGGCGATGGATTTTTAATCTGAAAAGAGAAAAATAGCAAAAAATTAGATAATGAAAAACATTAAGCTCCAAGATAGAAGGCAAATTATGCGGTGAATGTTGATGATTTATTGGCATTGAATGCTGTTCAATAGGAATCGGAGATGAAACGCTGTTAACAGAATTTGGAGGATGCAACAAGTATGGAAACTGTGGCGAATGTGTTGGTTCAGAGAAACCAGCTGTGTTTGCTAAAAATTAAAAATAAGATCGTAGATAAAAAAATAAAAATTATGCAAAAATATTCATATTATTATTACAAAAAACAAGGGATTAGCATAAATGGTAAAAAACATGAATCAATATGTTTAGAAAACAATTTTTAATTTTCGTTATTAAAGTTTGGAAAAAATTATAAAACGGAAATAGCATTATATGTATTTAGTGTCAATAAATTTTACCTTGCGACCCTTTCTGAATGATTGGAATTGAACCAGTTGTATGCAAATGACGCTGCTGTTCTAACAATGCTTGGTTCATAGCCTCATTAGCCATCATACCAGCAGAAGAGGAAGGCGAACGTCGATTAGCTTGCTGTGGTGGCACAGAACCAGCATCATGAGCACGTTCTGCAATTTTTCTGAAGAAGTCAGTCTTAACGATTGTTGATTTAGTTTCCTCATCGGAGGCCGCTGATGAACCAATAGAAGTAGCTGGTCTTGTATCTATTGTTTAAAAATAATTATTTTAAAAAGACAAATAGACATACCCGGTCCCAACTTCAAAGACTCTCCACTATCTGGATTAACAATTGCCAGAATTCTTTTTGCTTTCTGAGGCTGTGTTTGTGTGGTTGGAGCATTAGCTGAGGACAAAGTTCCTCCAGCGTTTGAAACAATAACATTGCTCTGAAAATTTTTAATCTTTTTCAAATATAAAAAATGAAAAACCTGTGGCATAGAAACAGCAGTCGCAGGCATTCCAATAGAAACATTAACATTCTGTGGTTGAATACCAGTTCCACTCGAAGAAATAAGCTGCTGCGTAGCATGGGTGCTAGATGGAATAACCGGTTGACTCAGAATTTGATAAGCAGGCGCCGGAGGCTGTGGCATGATTAGAGTCTAAATTAAAATAATTAAATTCTTTCTAGACCAAATACTGAAAAAAAAACCTGTTGAGTTACAGGATATCCAGCTGTATTGGTATAATATTGACCAGCAGGTGCACTAAAAATAAATATATGTATTGGGCAGGCACAAAGAATATAATGGCTTACGTATAATAATAATGGCCTCCAGATGTTGCTAATTGTTGATTAGGATACGCACTCTGCTGCATAGCAAAACCAGTTTGAGGATTATTAGCATTTTGATACATCCCATACATTGCAGCAGCCAAATCCTGCTGCTGTTGAACATTTGCAACTTGAGTCGAATCAGGAATCATAGCAGGCTGAATGCGCGTACCAGGTGGAAGGTTTATAGTTGCCCTATTTGAATATTAAAGACCGAGATGTTTGAAAAGCCTGGTCTGTCCTGGGTTCCGGGTTTGATTTATTGACATGGGCCGGATCCTGGGCCTGTAGTCCAGGAAAAACCCAGGCCCAGTAAAAACCCAGGAAGGTCAAAAAATGCCTGGGCCTGGACTCTGGGTACAGGAAAAACCCAGGCCTTGGTCCAGACCCAGCTCGATCTCTATTGAATATACACAAATCAAAAAACTTAAAACTAACGGTCCATCTCTATGCGCAAAACGATGCGAATTGTGAGGCACAGAATATTGCGAATGATGTTCTTGTTGTCCAATTCCACCTACGTTATGCGAATAAACGTGATGTTGCTAAAGTTTTGAGAAACATTAAAATTTCTTCAGATTTAAGAAAACCTGATGTTGAGAAACATCGTTACCCTGAGTCCCACCATTTGTAATTGGAGAATTCTGATGCGAATGATTTGTTGGCGGATTTGCACTGACAACGTTATTGTTCATATGATACTTGACAAAATTTATATTTTTTGTTTTCGTTAACTAAAAAATAAACAAATTTGTAAATTAATTTTTGTTTTCTATTCAACAAAAGAAACAAAAAAACAATTTTTAAACAGGACATTAATTAATTTGTTGTTTAAAAATTTAACAAACTTCAGCTGTTTTCAAAATAAAAAGAAATATAAAAATTTTAAAAACAAAATTTCGAAATTTACAAAGGTAAACTGCAAAAAAACAAAAAAAAATTTTTTAGACATTTCGCCAAAAATATTTCGTAAAACAAAAATTTTGCAAAATTCAAGCATTGATAAGCTAACTGATAAGGAACAATTTACTTGTATTTATTATTTTTAATCAGTTTGCCCTTTTTTGGTTGAAATATTTTAACAAAGAAAATAAAAATTTGTTTTTTAAATTTTTAGCCTAAAAAATGTCTGGCTCTCTTCGAGATCGTATTTTAACTATAAATCCTTCTATTGGAAATATTTTATACAATCCAACTGCTTATTTATTGTACAATAGAGAAATTGGAATGAGTAAAGAACGAAGAAGATTTTTAATTGGTTTAAATTTAGATTTTTAAAATTTTTCTTTAAAAAAATTTTTTCAGTTAATGTTTTTGATTTTGTTCTTTCTACACTTCTTTGGCTACTTTCTGCTGTTACTAAACCTTATAAACATACATGGATGGAAGTATTTTTGGAAGAAATAAATATTTTTGCTCCTCATTTTCTTCACAATTCGCTTTTTGATTTGGGTAGGATTTTAGCTTTAAATTTGTTTGGATGGGGACGAGGTCTAGGCTATACAGCTAGTCAGGCTTTAGGCTATGTCTTTATTAGAGTTGTTAGCATCTGGGTAGTTTTTGCCTTTGATGGCTTAAAAAGAGAAGAACAGGAGCATTTGAGCCGCCGCAGGGAAAATAAATCAGTCACCAACAACCCTAGTTTCTACCTATTTTTGTTCAGGTTTTTTTTGTTTTGAGCCTTTATTTCTTGATTATAGGTCCAAAGTTCTGAAACAAATTTTATCTTACATTAAAATCCTGTAAATATTCTCCAATTCCTTCATTTTTCTATTCAAAACCTAGAAAATTTTCCAAAAATTACATTTTTAGCAATACTTTCATTTCTTCGTATGTTGCTTCTTTTATTTGCTTATGCTTGGATAAAATGTGATCACTGGTATATTTAATTTATTGTAAATAAAATACTTTTATGCCAGGAAGGATTCCTGTGGCGTTCACTACAACTGTTTCAACTATCTTTATTGGAATTAAAATATTCTATTTTTTCGATAAAGACAAGGGTTCAATACAACAGGTTAAGTTTTGAAATTTTTATGAAAATAAATGTTGAATTTACCTATTTTCTGATGAAATTTTCTTTTTTATTATTTATTCATTTTAGCTATAATTTTTAGAATTTTATGATTTTCGGATAATTTTTTGTGCTAAAAAATTCAGATTTTAGTTTTAAAAATTTAAATTACTAATTGTAAGAATTTACTACAAACTTTAATCTTTCAGTATTTGGTGATTATTGCCTCGCTTTGTATTGCTTGGTTCGAACTTTGGCTTATGCCCTTTAGAGTTTTGGATTCAGAACATCAAAGAGACATGTTTATATTTTTTGTTTTAAATTAAAAATAATTTTTGTAGAGGTGTAGGAACAACCGTCATTAATGGATCTGATACGGATAGACAACGTTTAAATGCTCAAGAATTAATCAGGCAAATTGTTGCTAATGAAGAGGAATTCTTTCACACTGCATTCGAAGACGACACTTCTGGTTGGTTTTGGATTTTTTTGGGAACAATTTTAAAAAGGAGGTTTTTGACAAATGAAAAAGCGATTTCTTGGTATTTTTTAGAATTTTTCCAATTAAGAGTAATATATACTTATTAAAAATCATTCAGACGAGAATGAAGAACGTTGCAAAAATATTTCACGAATTGGTAAAGTATCTAGAAGAAAATGCAAAGAAGCAATTATTCGAGCTCAGAATGAAGCAGATTTACTTTTTGTTAATATAAATTGTTGGAAAGTTTTGCAAAAAGAAAATAAAAATGTGCCCGAAGTTTGTTGATGATTTTTATATTCAGATACCGATTTTTAAAATTAATTTTTAGATTCGTTATCATGACGCTTCAAACAGTTATTATATAAAAACAGTAATAGATCACACTGCTAGAGGTTTTTTTAAAAAATTTAAATAAATTGCAAGAAAAATTTTAAAGCTGTCTTTAATGCTGTTTGGAGAGAAAGTCAAAAATGGAATAAACAAATTTTGGAGACGAGGATAGTTGCTGGTTTGGTTTTTTCTAATTTTTTACTTTCTAACTTTGATTTTCTTTTTAAGTTGTTGATAGTACAACAGATATTGTTATAACGATTACTAAAGCTTCTGGTGGTGGATATATTGCACCGAGGTATTTTTGAGAATAAAATTCATATCTAAAAATAAGTTTTTTCTGAAGTTTTCAAAAAAAATTTTTTTTTTAATTTTAAAATTCTAGGCATTTCATCGACATTCGGTAAATTTATTTTACTCAAAATTTTAAAAGGAAATAAAATTTTTTAGTCGTTTTATCACCAATACTGAAGAAACTTCTTTTGTTGGGGTTTATGTGTCGATTGAATTTGCTGAGGAAGGGACAATGGGAGGAGAACAAAAAACTTCCAAAAGTGCGAAAAATGAAGGTGGAGTTGAAATTCGGTGAGAAAATCCTTTTAACAGCTAATTGAAAATTTATAGGCTGGGCTGGAATTAAATTTCTTTATAAACGTTGAAAAAATTTTTGAGGTTAGACGAACTTTTGTTTAGGTATAAAATGTCATCAAAAAGAGAAAAATTTCTTTTAATATTTAATTTTTTTTTCTAAAAATTTTTAGGGGTCGTAATGGTGTAAATATGTTTAGAATTTCTAAATTGGGAGAGAAAAATGCTTTGTTTGAATGGTTAATGAATACAGATTTGCGGGTAAATTTTATTTAAATTTATTTTAAAATTTAATTTTTATTTTTTAGATTCCAATCCCTCGAATGTTGATACGAAGGGTATAAATATTGTAAAATAAAAAAATGTTAAAAAATATTTTTAGTCAATTACAAGCTTTGTTATGGACTATACAAAAATGCTTGTAACATTTCTAGATGAAAATCCGACAGGAATAAAATAATATATTTTTGAGGGAAATTAATTTTTAATCTTAAAAAAATTTATTTTAACATTATTTTAAAATTATTCAAAAATTGGAATGTGATATTTGAACTTCAAAATTATTTTCTTATTACTATAACATTCCTTTTATTTTTAATAAAATTTATTTTTAATTTACTTTGAAATTATTTTTAGTCACGTTTAGGGGATTTAAAAGTACCGTAAGTACTCTAATATAAGCCCACCTCTAATATAAGCCCACTTAAAATGACCTACTGAAAAGTATAAGCCCAGAGCTTATACCGTAAATACTCTAATATAAGTATTTACGGTGTTCTTTTTTTCTACCGAATAAGCTGTGTTACTAATCAAACAATTGTTTACCCAAATTATAGCTTTATTTTCCAATTACCATTTAAAAAAATATTATTGTTGAAAGAAAATTTAAAAGAAAACTTTTTGTTTTTGTTGAAAGTGAAAGGGAATGTTTTTACCAAAATTATGAAAGAATTTTAAATTTTAAATAGACTTCTTCTTTTCCCATCAAAATCATTTCACTTTTCTTGTGTCCAAGCTTCAGCCAAGCTTACAGTACTGTCCTTGTAATTAAAAGCCACACAAGCTTTATTATAAAATGCTTGTCCAAGAATCCACTGATTTTGGTTATTTTCGGGTAATAAATTTCTTGCTAACATTGCAGGGTCTGGTCTGTGGCGAATTAACACATGACACCAATTAAATATTTTAAAGTTTTTTCCGAACATTTTTGGAGTAACCAACTGAAAAATAAAATAAAAATTATTTTTAGAAAATAATTATTTCTTTACAGGCATAATATAATCCTTCGGTTCAAATAAAAACGATTTTCCATTTTCTCCAAAAGTAAATTTAATTGTTGGAAGTTGTTCTAATTCTTTAGCACTTGGGCATTGAACCATTACGTCTTTTGGAGACTATAAAATATAAAAATTTTGAGTTTTTTTTTAATTTCATAAAAATATGTATAGCTAGGATTAACTGGAAAACTGTGAAAAGAGGGCAATCTTCCTCAGTTTATTTCCCAGATAAATAAAGGATAGAATTTTCACCCTTATCCTATTAAAAGGAATTTTTTGTTTAAAGAATTTCTAGTAGTAAACTCTATCCCTAAACCTTTTACATAAAATTTTCTCTCATTTGTCCTTGAAAGAACCCCTCGATTTGCTTAGGTCCCTCGTTTTTAAAATTCCTCGATTTGCTCCCTATATTATCTACAAAAACATTCCTTACAAATCTAAACAACATATAAACAATTCAAAACTTACAAGTTTAGATAATTTAATTTTTCGCAAAAATTTAAAGAACCAATTGTCCTTTACTGGTTTAAGTTTATCTAAAATATCTCTTGTAAAATTCTCAGGTGCAAACATAAAAATGTCTGTTGTGGATATTAGTGCTTCTTGGTCTTTAAATGTTTCACTTGTTTCGTTTAATATTTTTTCTGCTTCCATCGAAATTTTCCTGAAAAAGAATTTTTCTTTAGAATTTTTTAAAAAATATTTCCAAACCAGCGACGAGCTCCTTCCACTATAGATTGGGGCTGGCCCCATTGCACACAATTTTCACTATTTACTAAACCAAAATTCAAAACACCCTTTGTTCCACTTAATGGGTCTAATTTGCTGTAAATAAAAAAATTTTTGAGAAAATTATTTATTATAATTTTTGGTCCGGTTGTGACAAGATTATGCTTATCCTCCCAACCCAACCAAATTTTGACAAACTTGATATTTATCTTAACCTATTGGCTCGCTTTAACATTTTGTTCCTTTGAGAGAAGAACAAAAAAGTCTATTATATGTATCGAAGAGTTTATTAAATAGAGGTCTCGCATTCATACATATTAATGGAAGGGTTGATTAATCTCTATGACTTCATCTCTCCCATTCCACTTCTCCTCTATACAAAATTAGGTCTAAAGGTTGAGTACTAGACCGTATCGCTTAGATACATTATAACACATATGTAGCTGGCCATTCAATTGGGTTAATAATTGGAATATTAAGAATAATTTAGGGAAATAATTCTTACTCAAATTTTTGCATATAAATGCTCACAACAGGCTGTTCTTGTTTTCCAGTAACCAAATATTGGGCACCACTTTGCAATTTATAAGAATCATCAGAATAAGCTAGAGAAAATACTCCGTCAGCTTTAGGGGCCTTTGGGCCACCAGAATTAAGAATTCCATCAAATTGGTTAAATTTTTCTCCATCAACCAATAAAAGTTTTGTATTATTATCTTGCTGTCCTCCAAACTTTTTTTAAATAAAAAAATATTATTTTAATCATATTTCTTTAATTTAAAATAATTCTTAAGCTTTTGTATTCTCAACATTTGTACGATTATTACATTTCGTTCAATTGTGAGGCAATATTTTTTCCAACCCTTCCGAACTTCAATAAGATATTAAAATTTTTTTATAATTTTAGTTCATAAATTTAAGCAGTTTTGACTCGTGAAATTATTTTTATTTTTTTGTCTCCAGCAATAACCAAACATTCCTTATTTCAAATACTTCAGGGTTTACATTAGAGACCGGACTGGGAGTGTCGCGCGAGAATCGAAACTTTGAAACATTCTCGATAACAGAGATTTTCGATTGAGATCTCGTCTCGGTCCAGTCTCTAGTTTAAATTAAAATTCTGTTTTCCCTTCTGCCAATTTTAACAAATAGATTAATTATTTTACTTGTAAAGTATCTTCACAAATTCGCATATTTAATGTAGCATTATCCAAAGTTGTTTGATTAAAATCTTTGTCACATTGCAAATTTCTTTAAACAAAATTTTTTTTTAATTGGAAAAAATTCTTTTTACCCCATGTCCATTATTTGCATTTTATTCTTTTTGCAAGATGCCTTTCCTTTTTTAGGACAATTTGCAAGTAAAAAATTGCCAGGTTGTCCAACAATATTTAATACAGAATCGAAAATAACGGTATAGTCTGCGGATCCTTTAAATTTGAATAACAATTATTAAATTTAAATGTTAACAGGGTGTTTAATTTAATTATTGAAAAATAAATAACGGATCGAGACGAGACTAATCAAACTCAATTTAAATTCTCTCCCAGTCCTTTAATTCAGAAATCAGAAATTTGCTTATCTTCCTAAAACAGCACTTTAAAAATCTATTAATTTTTATTTTTCCAAAAACTTCTTTTAAACCCCCTCCTTTCATAATTATTTTATTTTTTTGTTTATTCCAAAAATGTTTCCTTGACATAATTCCAAGAATGTTTTCTTAGAAACAGAAAAACATTTTTAAAAATTTTGAATTTTTTAGAAATTTTTATTTAAAAAATGCAGGCATACATATCGTATTTTCTCGATTAATTCCCCCTCTCGAATAATTCCCCATGCTAAAGTTGGGTTGAAACAATAATTCCCCATCCCAAATACCCTACCGCACGTTCAAATGTCAAAACTCGAATAATTCCTCTCCCCCGATTAATTCCCCATCCCAAGAAAGGGTTGAAAAAATAATTCCCCAGTGGAATTAATCGAGAAAATATGGTATATAAATTATTTATTTATTTACCATTTTTTCCGTCTCCATAAGTAATTTTCCCGTTTAGATAGCTATTAAGCCAATTATTAACTGTAATTTGCGAAGCAGCGGGATTTTCTAATAAAGTCATACTAAAATTAAAAAAAAATAAAAAATAATTTAAAATTTTTTTGACCAATTTCCGTCTTGAAAACATGAAGAAATAATTCCATTAAATTCTGTTGAGAAATCAACGGAGGTAGCAAAAATGGATAAAATTGATGGGGAACCTTTAAATAAATGTTAAACTTTAATGATGGAATTTTATTTAAATTTTTAAATTAAAAATATGTTTAAAAACTAAGGGATTTTTTAGTGTAAAATTAAAAAAATAAAATTTTGAAAATGAAAATTTTTTTCTGAAAAAATTTTTTGGCTTCCCTTTTTATTTTTATTTTAATTTAAAGAAAAAATTTTACTTTTTCAAGTAATTTTACTAATAAAATAAATTTTTAAATTTGTCTTTTTTCGATAAAAATTAAAATTTTTATTTCACATCTTCCGAAAAAAAATTTTTTTGATTCAAATATTTTTTATTTTTAATTTAAATTATTTCCTTTTAAAATAATATTTCTGATAATTTAATTAAATTATTTACAAAAATACCGCATTTATTCTAATAGAACCACCGTCTCTAATATTACCACCCCAAACGGAGGGGTTTAAAAATAGAACTAACTGTGTTTCTAGTATTAAAATAAATGCGGTAATTTAAAAGATATTCGATAATTTTTTAGAATTTATAAATTTTATTTATTGAAAATTAAAAAAAATCCTTCCAATTAAAATTATTTTTATTTTTAATTAAAAAATTATTTTTGCTTACCAAAAAATAATAAAAATTTAAATATTAATTCAAGCTTCATTAAAAAATAAATTATTAAAATTTTATTATAAAATTATAAAACAGAAATGGTAAGTGTCAAGCAAGTTTTGAATTACTTTTAAATGGATTTGTGGATATATTCTCTTACAAAAAATTTTTTTTAATTTTTTCTATAACAGAAATTTATTCTCTATTTTTTCTTTTTCTCTTTTAAAATTAATTTTGCTTCAAAAAATATTTTTGCCACATTTCATATAAAATTATTTACGCAATTTTAAAATTTTTTTTTTAAATTCTCTTCCAAAAATAAAAATTTTCTTTCTAAAAATAAAATAATTTTTTAAAATTAAATACGCAATAATTTTTTTCTAAAATAAAGTTAAAAAAAGCTAAACAAATATACTCAATATACTCACCAAAATATATATTCAATACTCAATTTTAAATTAAAGTTTAAGTTTAATTTTTGATACTTTATAAAATATAAAAATTTTTTAAATAAAATATATATTTAATAAATATTTTAAAGAAATTTAAAAAATCACCAAAATTAACAAAAATAATTTTTTTACTTAAAGCAATTTTAAATTTTTAAAATAAAAGAATAAAATAAATATTTATTTTTGGATTAAATTTAATTATTGAAAAGTAAATTAATTTTATTTTTATTTTACTGTTCAGCAATTCCGGCACTGTTTTCTAAACATTGGGTAATTGTTAACGACTTATTTCATATTATAATTGTTTTATGCTATAGCTATTCCTCTCCTTCAGGTTATTTAACAATTCTGAGCGAACCAGCATTTTCATTTGGCTGGACTGATGTGTTTGTTATCCATTACACCACGACTCCTTCACAGATTTAGAAATTAAATATCTATGTCAGGGGTGTAGCTCGTGCCACAAAACATGAGACACGAGATACGAGACGAGCTTCATCCCTACTACATACATATATGCTTTACATTGAGATGTTTAATATAGCTTTTGTAAAGACGTTCAGTTCAGGAAGTTTTTGCATTTTGTCCAAAATGAGAAAAAATTTTTTTTTAATCTTTGAAAAATTAATTTACACTTTTGTGTCTTCCTTATTTAATCTTTAAAAGTTTTCCAAAGAAAATATTTTTTAAATTAAATTTCATAATTTTTAAATCATTATTTTGTCTGTTAAACTAGCCAAAGTTTATTCATTGATTTTTAAAGCAACATTTAAAAATAAAATAAAATTATTTGTTTAAAAAATAATTAAATTAAAAATATATTTTTAATAAGTTAAAAATTTTTTATTATTTATTTTTAAATTAATAATTGAATTTATAATTGATTAATTAAGGGAAGTAGGAGGAGGAGGAGGAGGGGGGGGGGGTGATTAAAGCATATGATTTTTTCTATAAATTTTTCCATTGTTAATTTACATATGACATTTTATTTTTATATCCCCCTCCCTCTCCTTGTCTAAATAAAATTAATTTTAAATTTTAATTAAAAAATATTTTTTAAATAAAATTTTTTAATATTTAATAAGTAATAAAAAAATAAATAAAGATTAAATTTTAAATTTTTATTTTAATAAATTTTTTGAGAAATCTTGCCTTTCCTGAAATATTTAAATTTTAATTATTTATCCATTTAATTGTTTAAAGAAATGAATTATTTGTTGCTAAAAATTTTTTTTGTTAAACTAAAACAGAAAAAAAAGAAACAGGCTGCTAGGGATTTTATCTAAAAATTTTGAAAAAAAAAGCTTTAAAAATTATTTAATTTAAATTTTAGAGGCACCTTAAGTTTCAAGAAAATTTACAATTTTTTTAAATTAAAAAATAAATTTAAAAAATAATTTTTTTTCAGAGAGATGCTTTCTTTAAAAATTATTTTGTTTATATTATTTTTATTTTATTTAAAAATTCTAAAAATTTCTGGATTTATGGTTTTAGTAAAAATAGATTGGACAGGAAAAGAAGAATGTAGAAAAGGTCAAAATAATCGTTTTGAATTGGAATTAAATAAATGGGACAGAAATACAAATAAAGTTATTAAACAAACAAAGTGGACAAATAATTATGATTTGGTATTATTTCATGAAGGAAATGAGGAAGCTTTGTTAAGTGAAAAATGGAAAATTAAGGAAGAAAATGTTTATCATTTATTTGTTTCTTTTAATGTCCCAGAAATTGAAGGAGAAAAAGTATTTAATTTTTTAAATGTAAATAAGTAAAAAGGATTTATTTAAGTTTTTAAAATTCCCCAAATATTCATTCACCCGAAACTGAAAGAATTCATAAAGTTTTGAGTCAAACAATCCCTGAAAAAATAAGATTCTCTGAAAATTATATTTTGGGTAGTTAGTAGTTCCTATTTTAAATTTTGAGTTTTTTACAACAAATAAGAACATGTTGGGAGGATCAGAGAGTAAAGTAAAAATAAATCGAATATTCAATTAAATAATTTATAATTCAAAATTCGACCAAGTTTTTCCTTGAAAAATTCTCTAAAATTCAAAAATTCTTTAAATTATCTAGTATTTACTTTTCGAATATTTACATATTTTCCAAAAAAATTAGTTCTAAAATAAATTTTTGTCGTTAATCAACCCATAAAAAATTCTTCGGAATATGTCGGGGCTTTGAATACAAATTTTTATTTTTTTTTTAAAAATTAAAAGAAAAATTAAATTTTAAAGAGAAAATTGTTGTTTGGCAAAAGCAAACTCCAATTTCAAAAAAACGATTATACAATTATTATTTTAAAAATTAATGGGTTAAAAGTTGTTGGACGTCATGCAATTATTAATCAACAAATTCCAAATTGGTCAGAATATGCTCTTTTAATTTTACGTCCAATTAAAATTTTAAAATTTATTGCAAAACAAAAAAGAATGAAAAATATAAAAATGTTTGTTGGGTGTGGAAATGATGAGGAAAATAAATATTTATTTGAATTGGATCAAAAAACTAAAGAAGGATATTATTCTAGTAATTATTATAAAATGCAAATATGTGTTAATGATGTATATAAATTAATTTATGTTAAAGGAAAAAAGTTTGGGGTAAATTTTAAATTAATTAAAAATTTTTAAATTTGGAGATGTTTGATGGTTTTCCTCTTTCTTTTATAAATTGTCACTTTAATTGTGATATAGAATAATTCATCCTAATGTTGTTCAGTGTATGCCTATTTCCCATAACATTTTCCCATCCCGAACATTTCTCAAAACATCCTTCCGAACATTTCTCAAAGCATTCTCCCGAACATTCAAAACATTCTCCCAAACAACCCAAAACAATCCAACAAACTTTCTTTTTAACTTTAAATTTTAGATAGTCCAACTTATGTGTAATACAGCAATCCATGAAGAAGAAATGGAAAATGTTTATATTTTTGAATTTACAGGCTATTGTCACTTAGAAATTAATGAAAACAAATTAATTAGTCAGGAAAATATAAAGGAAAATATTCTGACAGAAAACAGATTGAAATTTATAGTAATTTGATAAACATGCAAAAGGCAAAGCCTAAGGAAAAAGTTGGTGAAAGCTCAAAACAAGCTTTAATATCTTCTC